ATGATCATGAATGATTCCTTGTTCTTTTTCTGAATCCTGCTCTTGACCTTGAATTGGTACCATGGAAGTGTGGGGTGGACTTACAGTTGTTCCTTCTTTTGTTTCTGCCACTTGTACTGATCAGAAAGGTGAAAGACCTGGAGGTCTTTTCAGCAATGTAGTCTAACCAGGAAATATTAAAATGAATGGATTACTGTGGAAACCACACTCTCAATGAAGAAAGAAGGGACTGAGACCTGGCAATGCTAACTTGGTTTACAATGGAGCAAGTCTTTAGCCAGGTTTTAAATACTATGTTAATATTGCAGAAATGATGAGAATGAATATCTTTTCCTCTTTTGATAGATTTTTTAATTTGTGGATATTTCTTAATAATACTCCGCTAAATTTGAGAGGTTTTTCTTCATCTGGAAAAATTGGGTGGTTGAACTACATAACACCATGGCACATTATTTATTAATTGATACTAATTCTATTAGCACAATTACAGTTTTTATAGCAAAAGACCCTAAATAGCTTTATGGACTGAATATATATGCAGCATGTGCCCACAATTACTTTGTTGGGATGAAACATATTAGGACATATTTACAAGCTTGAAATGCAGCCTTTGTATAACGCCTGTGTTAGACTATATATATACCTATACAGGGCAAAAATCTAAATCAGAAAAAAAGAAAGACAAGAGGCAATTCACATTGAAGATCTGGATGATTTCTATCTACATTTCACTACTGGTGACAAACAGGATGCAGGAGGAAGTGTCAGTGGTGCCAGGAACCTGAAGTCCTCAGTACAGTGCCTGGGACAGAGCAAGCACTTGATCATGTTATTATCCACTCCGGGATCTCATCATCTTTGTAATTTTTAGTGTCTCATCCTTGACAATGGGAAATGTCTTGCTTACCTCCCAAGGTTCTCTTTAGAATTGGAAAACATGATACAAACTAATGCTCCTCACACTTGAATGTGGATATGAAACCCTGGGGACCATGTTAAAATGCAGATTTGGATTCAATCAAAGTGGAGTGGGATCTAAGATCTGTATTTCTCCCAAGTCCCATGGATGGAGGCAGATGCCAGTGAAGCATCTGAGGCATGTCTTAAAGCCCCAGAGCTAGTATTAGCTCTGCACAGCAGGGGCTGCCCTTCATTAAGAGAGAGCCTCCTGAAGGATGGGACACTGACAATGGGTGAGATTAGGGGACTGACTGTTGTTTTCTTTTCTAGACATAAAAAGGAGAGGTCAGCACAGAAATGTGAGAGTTCTCTCCATTTTAAAAAGATAGTCCCCAAATTCATTTAAATAGTGGTTCATTTTCAACCCCCAAATAGGACATTGCAGAATGATCAAAATTTATCCAAGCTGACTAATTAGAAACATACCTTTTGTGGTGATTGACATTTGAAAGTAGAGTCAATTTTATTCTTCTCACCTACTGGATAGTAAACATCAAAAGTGCATCTTAAAATTGCCTATCAGTGAAAACAAAAGTCAAAAGAGAAAAGTGTTATTCATGAAATACTTATACAAGTATAAAATATCAAGTAGATATCCAGGGAATAACTAGAGAGTTGCATGACTACTTACTCCATGTTTTTTGATCTCACAACTTTCGCTCAACTCTTCATGTCTTTGCTTGGAACATGTGGTTTCCCTGGCCGTGAAGTCAATAGAATATTTGAATCCACTCACCACCTGGAAAATTAATTAACACAAAGTAGAACTTTCATTAATATTATATAATAAATGATATGTTTTTACCCTAAGGAACCTTAGGGGAGAATATTAAAATTTTAATTATACACTGCTCAAATGAAAGGTATACAAATAAAGTACAAATGTTTGACAATTAACTTTTAGTTTGTATGCATGTGTAAAATATTTGGCTGTTGGTTGGTCTTGTTTCCTTTTGTGTAAAAGGAAACAAGGCTACAATTTTTATTTTATACTTTCTGAGTTTTATTATTCAACAACATTCAAGTGCTCAAGTAATAGAATCTAAGAAGAGTAGGAAGAAAATTTTAAACATTTTCTTTAAGTATGCCTTATTGACATGACAAGACCTGAATCAGAAAAATACCGAGTTAATGTCACTACAGAAATTGTGGGTTAAATTTTGTGATTAGGAAAATTCTTTGGATTTTGTAGTTTGCCTCTCTTAAATTGTTTTATATTAAGAAACAGTTTTAATCTCTATCAATAGTTTTTTAAAATGGATTTTTAGAGAGACAGGAAGGAAGAGGGAGAGAGAGAAACACCGATCAGCTGCCTCCTGCAGGCCCCTTACTCTGGATCAAGCTCTCAATCTGGGCATGTGCCCTTACTGGGAATTGAATACAGGAACTTTTGGTGCTCAGGGCATTGTTCAACCAACTGAGCGACACTGGCCAGTACTGTAGCAAAAGTTTTAATCTTTATATATACAATGCTGTGTCCACAATGAATATTTTGTGGCCCAATTTATTTATTTTCATATGAAAGAGGCACATTTTATTTATTTAAAATATTAAACTCATGCTTTTTAAAATGCACTGACTTCAATAAAATTGCACATATGGCTTTTTAAAAGTCATTTCAAAATGCCATACCTTACATCTCTTACACCTAAAAAATATACTCAGTAAAAAGTGACTTTAAATTGTATGTTAAAAAGTTAGTTGATATGGCAAATTTCTAGTCCAAGTTTCAATACTTGATTCTAGTATCTAAATGTGTGTGTGTGTGTGTGTGTGTGTGTGTGTGTAAAAAAATACATGAATATATCAGTTGACCTAGAGAGATGACTATTATTTTTAAAAATTAAGTTACAGCCCTGGTTGGTGTGGCTCAATTCATTGAGTATCATTCCATGCACCAAAGGGTCCTGAGTTTGATTCTCAGTCCAGGCACATGCCCAAGTTGTGGGTTTAATCCCAGGTAGGGTGGGAGGGTATGATGGAGACAGCAGATTTATGGTTCTCTCTCCTCCCTTATTTTCTCTCTAAAATCAATAAAGGGTATTAAGAAGTAAAATAAATGAAGTCACAGGGTGATAGTAGAATCTCGTTTGAAAAAGCAAAGCACAATAGTCTTCCCTTTCTCTGTGTTTTTTAAGGACATGGAAAACGTGTGGTGGGAGGAAGAGAGCAGGAGAACAGAGTCATGGGAAGAGCTAAGCTCCCCCTCTACTTTTTCTCGCATTGTTCTGCTAGGTAAACATGGTTACATTTTTAAGAAAAATTTGATGCTTAACTTTTAAGACTCCAGGTATAGGTGTAAATGGGGAGGAAGGTTCTAAGAGGGTTATAGGGTCTATATTTTGGTGATCATAAGTTTTCTTGCTCATTTCAGAATATATCTTAATCCAATTTTCCATAGTAACAATAATGTTGATCACAGTAATGTTGCCTAAGAAACTTGAGAATATGTGACACAAACCACAACTGATTCCTCAACTCTATTCAAGGTCAAGAAGAAGGAATTAAATAGATGTAAATCTC